CCAGTCAGACATCTGCACTAACCTTCAATTCCCCCGCGGCACCACCGCTAAGTATCACTTCGCGAGGGAGTTATCAGCCATTTGCTCTTCCACGTTCTACTTCTACTGCACATCCTCCTATCCTGCTAAGGTGTTGGGTGTGGATAGAAGGTTCCAGTAGATTCCTCGGCTATTCTGCTGCCTTGCGCTCGCGTTCCTTCCTTCTAAGCTCTTTCATGACTTCTGCCGCGAAGTTGCTCGTTGCGTCCCAGGTGGCCTCCGATTGGAGCATGGCGCTCACTACACTCTCGGGGGAAATCTCTTCTCCTAGCGCAGTCTCCCATGTACTGCGGGCAATGCTGAAGTGTGGACACACGAAAAACACGTGTTCCGCATCTTCGTTGACTCCTATGTAGACCGTGCACTCCGGGGAATCCTCATGGATACCCCATGGATCACCCTCGACTCCGTCAAGAAGTCCGCTCCAACATTGCCTCTTGCTGCCCTTAATCGTTCTATTGAGCTCTCGGTGTACATTCTTATACTTCAACTCCAATTCCTGAAAATTCGGTTTCTTCCGACTACGTTGAGATGTCCTCCTCGCTTTTGTGCACTCTGTGCGGAAAGCGGCGATCTCATCATTCCACCAGTACATCGGTGGCCGACGATTTCCACTACGTTTTCTAGGCATGTGTGTGTGTGTGTGTATGTATGTGTATGTGTGATCGATTCAGTCTTCCCACGATAACTAAAAAAATAATTGTCGAAAACAATTGAATTTGCGCTAGAAATATTCGTATTCATGTTATCCAGACCGCGTTCGAACCTGGTCTCGATGCCATTATCAGTTTACGAATTATAGTAAAAAAAATACGCCCCAACATTGGACCAACCTTGGGCCAACCTTAGATTAACCTTGCGCCAACTTTGTACCAGCCTTGCGTCCACCTTCGACTAATATTGTTTTATCCTATGGGGATCTTATGGGGTTTTATGGATTTTATGGGCGTCCTATAGGGGTCTCATGGGGGCTTATGGGGGTCTTATGGGGAACTTATATCCATTCGGAAACATATTGCCAATTTATTAGCAAAAAAGGGTACAATAATTGATAAAAATTGAAAGCAATACTCTACTTGTTTACTCGTAAACGAAAAGTAAACGAAAAGTTTTTTCGTTTACTGGTTTAACACAAGTGGGAAATTGCCGATGTGTAGCATATAGTATAGCTTTTTTTGCTAATAAATTAGCAATATGCTCCCGAATGGTCATGTTGCATTTTTTTTTCTTCCGTATATGATTTATATTTTACTTTATTTCATTAAATTGAATAAGTTTCTTTTCTATCAATTGTGTCAAATTTTATCTTCAGTTGCATTTTATAATTATTATTATTCTTATTATTTTCTCTTATAGAACTTTTTATTTATTTATTTATTTTTTCATTATTCTTTCATCGCTCTTATTGTTTCTTTGTAGCATTCATTTTATAAGCTACATTTCATTTAGCTCTCAAAATTACTGGCGACAATGATTACGAAGAAGATGAGAATGGAATATTAATACTATCAGAGTCATTATTTAAAGTCTACACCTGTTCTCTTTTGTAATTTCTGTCTGGGTTTTCTGGAGAGGACATGGGTTATGGGCCCCAGATAACTAAAATATCAGTTTTTTTTAAAATGATATTTTAGTTGCTCATAACAGGTTTGCATGAATCCTTAAAATTATTAAATAAATAGTTGATGACGTTCATTTCCATGGTTAATAATAAGAGGAATAATTAACTCTTCCAACATCCCATTAATTATTCCTCTTATTAAATAAATAGATTAACCAGTGGCTGTAATGGTCATGCGGGGAGTGTGTGCCTCCGGCGGTCATCCAAGCTAAGCAGCATTCAGTCTGCCCAGTACTTGGATGGGTGTCCGCTTAGGCACACCTAACCGCGTGGGACTACAGTCGCTAGGCACGAATGTAGAGAACCACTGTGCCCATTGAGTCAGTGTGACCAATGGACACAGTGGAATCCCTGCATTATCGGCTGGGGTTTTCCATGGTTTCCCTTGCAGTCCTAGCCCGAATCGTGAACAGTTAAGAGTAAGACGACCCATGGTAACGCAGAAAAAATCAGAAGAGAGAAGTGGGAGATGCAAGGCAGACGAATGGGGAGCCTATAAAACCGTAATGGTAGTAGGAAAGAAATATGAATAAAAAAAAATAATAGATTAACCCTAAATGAATTTGAACCTTTTTCTTTCATTTAAATAATCAACGAAAGTATATTTTCCACAATCATGGAAAGGCAACAGACATTCGAATACCATAAGCTATTCCTGAAATTCTTGTATAAATTAAATGAAAGAATAATACTATTTATATCACGAGATAGGCCGCGCGTGCTGCGCACGCGCCTTCTCCTCTCCTCATGTAGTGGCGCTTCGGTTTCAGTCTTACGCTTACGCTTATTCGAGATTTTCGAGATATTTCGAGATCGATTTCCTTTCTCCTTTTTAGGATAGGAAAAAATAGGATCGAGATTTTCGAGATATTTCGAGATCGATTTCCTTTCTCCTTTTTACGATACGATAACAAAATTTCACTAGAATATCATTGAAAAAATTTTATTTATTCATAATTGATTGAGTTTGAAACATCACATTTGAAGAAACCATAAAAAAGCTAATTTTCGTGGAAACTGATGAAAAATTTGTAATTTCTGAAAATTATCATAAAAAAATTAAATTAACGGAGACAGTTATCGTAACCATCGTTCAACTTCCACTTAAGGGCGTCAATACAAACATTTCAAGCCATGATATAATGCATTCGAAGCCAGGAATCCAAAGATATCTGCGGAATTCTGATTTTCAAAAAAATGAATTTTTTTTTGCAAATTTTCACAAAAATCACAGTAACGATTACTGCCATCGTCTCCATCTTCGAACTCGGTCGAAGGGGCGTCTCAACGAATTTTTTAAGGCGTTATTTAATGAATTTGAAACATTTTTTTTAGTTATCGTAAAAAAACCGATTTTTGAAAAAATTCGAAAATTTTAAAAATGCATCAATGACTTGAATTTCAATTAATGGCAGTAGATGGGGCTCAGTAAGACCTACATTTAAGGAAAAAAAAGACTGAATTCCATTGTTGAACTGGCGAATAATTGAAAAAAGTTTGTTACATACGTATATACATACGTACACACGTATGGACGCGGTCTAAAAATTGGATTTTCGGACTTTTTGGATCATAATGGGTTGATATAACACAAAAAATCGAAAACTTAAATTTGGTCGATTACAATGCTTCCATTCGGAAGCAAAAAAGGCACAGCCACTCACTGAACGTAACATCACTGTCAAAAAATATTGTTCGATACATGTGAGACCTGAATTTTTGGCTCGTGTGATTGGCTCGGCTTCGCCTCGGGCGCCAACTTCACACTCGTGAACATTCCGTCTCACTCGTATAGTGATGCCGCGCGACGCTAGACAAACGAGACAAGAGACATGACGAGACGAGACAATGACAAAAACGAAACAAAACAAGAAAAACTGGTCGAGAACGAGAGAAACGAGAGGCGAGACGAGAGTCGAGAGAGCCTCCCCCTCTCTACCCCTCTGTGTATTTTTTTCGCGCTAATTATAGAGACGAGATAAGGCTCTCAATTCGCGACGAGACGAGGGAAGAAATTGCTCTCGTCTTTCGATACGAGTCCAGGCGAGAGAATGGTCTCCTGACAACAACACGAGACGAGAAAATACAGTTTCTCGTCTCCTCTCGCGGCATCGCTGCCCTCGTATCGAAATATACTATTCTCGCATTTAACACAAAACGTTATTGTTTTCATCTCATTTTACTGTGCTTCACCATAGATTTTCCGGTTCCTGGTACCTCTGTGTATAGTTATTCAACTTGTTCCTAACACCTTTTCTCTGAAGAGGACACTACGTTTTATATGGACAGTTTGGAATAATCATTCGCAACTTGTCCAAATATTTTCCAATTATACAATAGTACCTGCATCATTGATACCCGACAGATTTTTTTTTATTGTACTGGAATAAGTATGGAAGCAATAAAACCAAATAGCAAATATCCGACCCAGACAGGAATTGGCGAGTTTCAACAACGGTCCCAAGTTTGGCTCAACCTCGACTTGCCGAGTGTTGGTAAACAAGCGTGGACCATAATTAGGCCAACGGTTAAGCCCGTCTTCAGCCAATGGCGCATCTTGAGCTTGGTTCAGGGTCGGACCAAGCATAGACAAAGACTGTCCGCCGACGCTTGGTCAACGAGAGGCTACCAACCTTTGCCCAAGCTTAGTGGCCAATAAGTTGCCAGAATCGACGGACGTTCATTGGCGGCCATTCCTGGTCCAAGCTCGACTAGCCCGTCTTCTCTCAAGTATCGGGTAGGATTGCCTTCATCCAACATCGGTCCGACTGTGGTTGCCAAGGCTCAAGCTCCACCACTGGCTGAATTATGGTCCACACTTGTCCACCTATGCCCGATGAGTTAGGGTCGAGCCAAGCTTGAACCAGCTGATGAGCAGAGGGGGCGGGAGACAGTGTATATTTACAAAAACTCAGGGCCGAAGGAAGGGGGGAAGGAGAGAATAATGATAATAATTGCTATAATGCTTATAAAGATCGAACCTTCAAGTGTAATGAAAAATTAACAGTCTGGGATCATCAAAAATACTCAGGTAGGGGCAGGGGAGTGTATTTTTTTCTTGAAAAGATAAAGAATATCCATGCATGGGCGTATCATTCTAGGACGACTCATATACGATTTTGCAAATCACTTTTTCAGGAAATTTCTTATCAGATTAGGAAAGTGGCACCGTTATCATTTCAGATGAAACAAAAGATTATACAAACTGCAAGAAGACAAGTTGATTAATATCTCAGTATTATATCTATGGGATTACAAACACGGAGAAAATCTCGCGTCTGAACGGTTTAAACGGACAGTGTGGGTGTCGGTTATAGAGGTGAAGTCCTTCTATTCCCTCGTCTCACCTCCTTCGTCGTTTCTACCTCCTCGTCGTACAACAAACGGACGTCGCTTCGACTTTATACCGAGTGAAAGTCTCTTCGGGATCCCGTCGTTAGCGGGTTAAAATGAGTCAGTCACACCGCGACGGCTTTCCTGGTGGGATCGATATCCGGTACTTTTCCACGTGAACCCTGGCCCTTATGGCATTGAGAGAATTATATCAATATCGTAGGGAATTGGGGTCAATTGATTCGTTCCTGTGAACAGGAAGTTGAGTTCGGTGGTTATTTGTTTTTGTGCAAGAAAGATACTCAAAGAATGGATAAGCCAGGGATGCCTCAAATTTATAGGTAACTTTTTAGATCCGTTCTTAGATTGAAATACTATGGTATTTGGATGATGTTGCATGGACAAACCCGTGCGTATCAAAATTAGCGAAGTTGCTAAATTTATTCTACGTTGCTATTCCACTATCAGATGGCTATAGTAACTCTATGAAAAACAATCCACATGAGGTTGGAAGGTGTGTACAGCGTACAGTGTTGAGGTTTCACGTCGTGAGTTCTCAGTTTATAATATCCCTCCGATTCCTGAAGGAGTGGGTTTTCTCCGAGAAGGAGAAAGGCCAAGAGAAAAATGAAGGAGTATTCAGTGGAAAATGAAGAATTAGGCTTTTAGATGATATAAGCATATATGGAGGTATAGAATAAGTGAATGATTTTCATTTCATCAGTACATTAAAGGTCACATAGAGAAAAAGGGACAAAGGATACACAAAAAGTCATTTCCGCTTCGGTGAACCATGTCGATGCACGAACATGAAATCGCTCGTTATGTTCCCTTTATAGTCATTAAAAAATGGGAAACATATAGGAAAGAAAGTATTAGTACTTTGTATATCATGGAAAAAATCCATGATATACAAAGTACTTAATTGCGATGCTCAGAGTGTTTCCCATGTATAGCGATCGAACGAAAAATAATTGGTACATGATAACACGATTTTCATCATCTATTTTAACAACTTTTGCGGTTAGATTTGTTCTTTGGAAATGAACGGCTATAACCACTAAATCAATGATTTGCATTATTAGATAATTGTACGACGAGAGAAACGTGAAAGGTCTAGCTCGTGTCTGGTCTGCTGCTGAACCAGTTTCACTGTAGTTTATACCATCGATTATTGGATACTACTGAAGGTAAATCTGATACTTCGGGACTTATTGCTTCAATATATGTTTCACTGATGGAAAATATATTAGTCGATGAAGGAGGATTTTTCTATCAGTAGAATAGTTACTTCCCTCACCTGTGCCTCGTCTATAGGATCTCCGGTGCCGCCCGCATCTCCGACTCAGTTATGCCTCGCGCTAAAAACATCAGTTTAATCTACCAATGTGTTTGCGTGCTTATGTGCTGAACCAAAATGTTTTGAAGCATGAAACTCAATATAACATAGAGGTTTATAGAAATTATCCATTTTCCCAGGACTCGTTGATTTGCATGACTCGTTCAAATACGATTTTTTGTTCGAAAAATTACAATTTGACATAGGAAAAATTACTTTACAGACAAAATATCCAATAGAATTGTACACGGAGAGAAATGTTCAGATGGTCTTTCCAGGCGAAATGTACTGCAAAGAGTAGGAAAAAGTACTGTTGCATGTGTCATTTTTCGGATAAATGCGGGGAAAAATTCTTGTGCAGCACGGTAAAATCGAGACGACAGTGAATTTTTACGAGAAATACGAGAAAAATTATGACACTGGCTGGCAAATTTTTCCGGTGCGCTACCAGAATCCTAGGACCCAATCGCGCATTCGTAAAATTTCGGCACTCTTCGTCCCCCCTCCGCAACCACGAACATCAACTCAATGTGACCAGATGATTTATTCCGTCGCCTCCTCTAGCCTCCTCTCTCACATATCTCCTTACTGAAACCCCAGGTTAATGTTTTTCATAATATCAATTCAGTGAAATATTAATTAGTGTTGTGATAAAACGGTTAAGAAATAAAATAAGTGCCCTTTATTTTCTCTTCATGAGGTGTACAACACTGTAGGGATACATTGGCCTGTCAAACGTTCCACATACGTTTACCGCACATTCCGCTTTTAATATGGGAGAGAGGATATGGAGGAGAGATTAAAATAAAATTAATAGAATGATATGCCAAATGACAATGTTTACTCATTTTTAACTATTGAATGTAATTTATCATGTAATAGAAAACAGGGATCAAGCTTTTATTGTGCGGTCCCAGAATTTTTACTATGCAGCACCGGAATTTTTCTTGTGCTAGACAATTGAACCCACTTTACCAGACGGCACGGTAATTTTTGCCTGAATTTCGCCTGAAAAATTCTGGAATTTTTTTCTCCGTGTACCCGAGTCGAATAATTAGACCTGACAAGTTCTGCTTAGGTCTTTCCGTTCAGGACTGGATAGGTCTTGGGAAGCCTCTTCCCAAGTGTTTCCGAGACCTTTCTACCTCTGGTTTCGTCCCATTTCAGCACTCGTTAGGTGCAAGCAGGACTTGTATTCAGACTTTCCAAATCCTTGCCGGTCCCCTTCATTCTACGGGCCTATATTAAATCCGGGTTCATATCCCTGTTTACGCATGCGTTATTGAAATAAAAAATGCAATTATTGTTTTTTTTTAATCTCGACAATCGACATTTTACGAGAGGGTGGAGGGGAGACGCATCTATGCGGAAGCTTGAAATTTTTATTCACCAAGGGGAGAAGGTTGCAGAATCTATTCTAGCCACCCTTGTCCCTCCGCTTGCATGCGTTGTCTAAATAAAAAATAAAATTGTTAACAAATCTGACTATTGTCCCAAGTGAAGATTAAAATTTTTATTTCGACATTTTTGGCGCCTCTGAGGGTTTCATTGGCATTAGAGGGGCCAATAAATACAGAATCATCCTTCACTTGGCTAAAAAATTCGATTTTGGCGAAAGTCGACTATACCCCTGGACAAACCGAAAATCTGACCCTTTGACTCCGAGTGAAAAAGATTTTTTTTCTGTTTTCACTTTTTCCACATACTTTTGAGAGTTTTGAATAGCCCGTCGCTTAAATAGTCGGAATCACCGTTCACCCGGCTAAAAAATTCGACTTTGGCGAAAGTTGACTTTCCCCCTGGAAAAATGGAAAATCTGACCTTTTGAATATCTGAAAAAAAAAAACTTTTCCAGTTTTCACTTTTTCCACATACTTTTGAGAGTTCTGAATAGGCCGTCGCTTAAATAGTTGGAATCAACGTTCACACGGCTAAAAAATTCGATTTTGGCGAAAGTCGACTATCCCCCTGGAAAAATCCAAGATCTTACACTTTGGCCCTCGTGACTCTTGTTACCCTTCGACCGACTTTCCCCCTGAAAAAATCCAAGATTTGACACTTTGGCCCCCGGTGAAAAAAATTGTTTTTTTGTTTTCGCTTTTTTCACATACTTTTGAGAGTTCTGTATAGCCCGCCGCTTAAATAGTTGGAATCAACGTTCACCCGACTGAAAAATTCGATTTTGGTGAAAGTCGACTTTCCCCCTGGAAAAACCGAAAATCTGACCCTTTGGCTCCGGGTGAAAAAAAACATTTTTCTGTTTTCACTTTTTCCACATACTTTTGAGTTTTGAATAGCCCGTCGCTTAAATAGTTGGAATCAACGTTCACCCGGCTATAAAATTCGATTTTGGCGAAAGTCGACTTTCCCCTTGGAAAAATCTAACATCTGACCCTCTGGCTCCGGGGGAAAAAAAAATTTATTTTCACATTTGTCGCGCCTTCGAGTGTTTCATTGGCATCAGAATCGTTAGAAAATACAGAATCAACCTTCACTTGGCGAAAAAATTCAATTTTGGCGAAAATTGACTTTCACCCTGACCCTTGACCCACGTGAAAATGAAATTTTTTTTTTCGTCTTTTCTCTCACCTCTGAGGGTTTCATTGGCATTAGGGGGTCAATAAATACAGAATCAACGTTCACTATTTTTTATTCAAACACCGCCTGCAAACGGAGAGATGAGGGTGGCTAAAATATATTCTTCAACCCTTTCTTCGTTGGCTACAAATTTGAACCCTCCACATACATGCCTTCTCCTCCACCCCCTTGTGAAATCCCGAGGTCTCGGTAGTATAGAGGAGGACTTCTCAGGGCCGAAAAGAACTGAGGATCCGAGAGGTCTCCGGAAAACTGCGTCGCAGAACTTACCAAGTCAATCTAGGTGTGGAGAGATCTTGAAAGATCTATGTATGTCCGATCAGAACCGAATCCTTGACTCGGGTACCTGCGAATTCCCTATTACTAGAGGGAAAACCTATGGAAATTTTACATACACACAATTTTTGACATTCACACTAATTTTCTTCCGCCGAGATATCCATCGAAGCATAGTTGACCACAAAGGGCCAAAAAGTGGGAAAAATTTGCGCATTTTTTGCTTCATTTTCAACTTACAACGTATGTGAAGGATATAAAAGTAAATTCAAGTGGTTGAAGCAAAAATTTACCGCCGCCAGTCAACAATTCATTGTCAAAATACTACTAATCAAATTGAAATTATTCGTGTGGTTGGAAGAACTACATATGAGATATTTCACTTCAAAATGATGAACCCCTCACCTTACCCTTTCGAAAGTAAACTGGAGATTTTTTACGGGGTTAAAAGTCATTTCTTGCAGCCCACACTGATGGAAAAGGTGGAACGATTTAGTTGCTACTAACGAGGCTTCTTAATTATTACAAAAGTTCGTTAACTATTAGTGAATCATGGTAATATTTAAGAAGCCTCGTTAACAACAATTAAATCCTTCTATCATTGCATGTTTTTTTAATGATATTATCCCATTTTTTACTTCTTAACAATGAAATTGTTAGCTATTGTAACTACCTTTGCAAGTGTGCGACATATTTTGGATGCTTGAAACGATACATCTGATTAAAAATTATTTCAAAAGCTCAATTTACACTTACCACGTCACAATTCGTTTACATTTTCAATTCTTTTACTCAAACTTTCCCAAATTTCATGGGAAATTTTCGGACAGCCTTTAGCTTGTATGTCGATTACATTCCTGTTTTTATTATTCATTCAATTATTTCACATATTTTTTAGATGTATAAGCTACATTATCCGAAGATTTCATGAAGACATCCCCCATGGAAAAATATATAAAAAATACATGTAAATCAGGACAATTTCATAAATAAAATATATAATTTTCAGAATATATTTTTATTTCCATATGGGATCCTATGGAGGGCTATGTCTCCAAAGATTCGGCTTCCCATGTTTACTTTCAAGAGGGTGAAGGTCAAGGGTTAGCTGTTTTCACGCGGAATACC